ACTTAGAAACGGGTGATTGTATTGAAAAAAAAATGTTTTGGGCTATAAAAAAGATAAATAAAATAATTGGTATTCGTCACTCTAGCGAGGCTGGGTCTTCATTTGTCCCTTACAGAGACTTTACAGTCGCTCTTAACACAAAAACAACCGCAACAAACAAACGAAGAGAGCCAGGACATACGACCTGCTCGGCCCTCGAGACGCATCAACGTACACGCCTCGCGAACGACAAAGCACCTTCGCTACCTAAAAAAAGGGAACATCAGTTGTTTTCATTCCCGAAAAAGATCCAGACAGACGCTGCCGGGATGGGGAGACAGCAGCATAAACTATGCAGGAGAATTCGTCCCCTGTCCGCACGTATTCTATTGGGTATTTCGCGCACGTTCTGTCGGCACCTTCTATTATTATCGTCAGTCGGTGTATCTGTGCGACGTGTGGGACGAGAAATAGGGAAAGAAAAGGAAGGAGGGGAAGACGAGAAGGAGAAAAAGGGAGAGATTGTTCAATGCGGTGCCGATCATGGCAGGCTGCCAGTTTCGGCCCTTTGGCGTTGCATCTGCCGACCTCGCGGGCTTCCTCGAGACAAAGCATTCGCTCTCGGGCATCCCCATTTCTCTGGTATCCCTACTTGTTTTAGTAGGGATACCAGTTGTTTTCGTTTTAGGTTCATTGAAAGCAGGCCTCAGTTCTTTTTTTTTTTTTTTTTTTTTTGGGGGGGGGGGGGGGCATGTTCACTGAATGAGCTTACTCGTCTTGTGCTGGAGGGAAGTTTCTTGTTTTCGCTTTTGTTAGAAATACGTATGTTTTTCTGGGATGGAATTTCGTCGACCATAGTTTTTGTTGTGCCTGTGTGTGCGCGCTGACAGCCAACTTTTCGTCTCTCTCTTCACGCACCACAAAGTTTTGTCCGCGTCAGCATTTTTACTGAGAAGCGATCCCCATACAGGAGAGGACGGCGTACGCCACAGGCCGTGAGCATCCCCTTTAAGGGAAGGGCCGGCGCACGCCGACCACCCCACTCGGCTTCCGTATGATGTCGCAACCGCGTAATACGTATTATACGCAAAATCAAAATCTCTCGACGTTTTTGTTTTTATTTGTTTGTTTGAAATGTTTTATACGCACCACTATATTTTTTTTCTTGCATTCAAACCAGCTTTTTACCCCGACACAAAAAACACAAAAAACATTCCCTTTTCTTCTCGCAATATTGTGGCGAAGGCAGTGGAAAAGTGGTAACACAAAACGTATTGTATGCCGTGCATTCGCGGCAATGTTGTACAGACGAACTTGGTGCGCAGTATGCGCCTAGACGGCGCGAACATCGTCGCGTGTAAACGGTCTTTGGAACCAAGTCCCGAAGAAGGTATACAGCGCTCGAGCGGGAGTGGAGCGCTAGGTTCGCGCCTCTTGCGGTCGCGCAGAAGTGCTCATGACCCTGCCATTTCGCGTCTCTCCGTTTCTTCCGAAGCACGTGCTAGATCTCTTTTCCCTCGCCTTCTGCGTACTCTTCCACCGTACGTGTGACCGCTCGCTCAGCACCTCATAGACATCAACAATAAGAAGAAATAATAAGAAGGAATTTTATTCACATCATAAACATATTACATATGCAGGCCCGCACAAGCACTGGTATGCTTGTATGCGGGACCTGGCGTCCAGCGGGATGCTACACTGAAATCCTCTTATTGTGTGCCATTACTGGCACACAAAGAAACTAAAAATCAGACAGAAAGAAAAGAGACAAAACTCAGTGGAATGCTAAAGCAATAAAGCCAATTTACACTTCAAAATTCAAACATCAATCTCTTAGTTAATATTTTACTTGTTTCAGTGACTCTATGTTATGGTAAGTTTCTGGAAGTCTATTAAAATAAAATGGGACGTAATATGCCCGTGTTTTTTTTCGAATTTTTTTTTTATAAATCTTCGGAATAACAAAACTTTTTATGCGCCTAAGTGTTCGTTCCTTTTCTAATACAATTTTAAAGTTGCTCTTATAAATAGTGCTTTACTAAAATAACATAGCAGTGCAGTTCTTCTATGGATAACAACTTTAAGACATTCATTTTCCGATTCATTTCCCACTCTGAGGAGGTTGTTCCACAAGTAATATTACTTGCAATTTTATGTAATATTTTGTCAAGTTTTTCTTTTTTTTATATAATTAGAACACACTCCATATAAAGAGATACCATATCGAAGAATTGACTCACTCAGTGCACCCTACACCCTCCTTCTTCATGACATTGTCGCTACACTACGCATCCTGTACAAATGAACCGAAACAACACGCATTTTTTTTATGAGATATTCTACATGCTCATTTTGATCCAGATGTAATCCTAAATATTTAGTTGTTGTAACATAATCTAATGCTACACAACTGCAACGTGTGCAGTTCTGTGAATGGAGAAATAACGGAGTGCTAAGGTATAAATGTTTATACGGACTACGAAAACACATTAGTTTTGTCTTTCTGGAATTAACAAAGATGTGATTAGCAGAAAAACCGCTTATTATTATTTCAATATCTTTCTGAAAAATGGACAATGTACTTTGTTCATCACTGTGCCCTAATATCAAGGCAGTATTGTCTGCATACGGATACAATCGGGATGTTCAAGGTAGAGTTCCAATTTGGTTTACATAAATATTAAATAAAAGGGGTCCCAGTACTGACCCCTGAGTATACTCCCGAGTTAAGTGATGTTAATATACTTTTTAACTTGTCAATTTTGACCAACTGATATCTGTCTCTAATATAGTCTTTCAAGAACGCGTTGAAGGGACCTCTAAAACCCATATCCTTTAGCTTTATTAATAGCCGCTCATGAGTGATATAGTTTCGAAAGCTTTTGTTAAATCTAAAAATAGGGCTAAAACAAATTGATTTCTATCAAGACTGTAGTTTAAATAATCTAAAAGATCTTCCAGCAAAATTTCAGTGCTTCTACTTCTACAGAATCCATACTGAGACTCATTTATTAAACAGACCTTCTCGCAATACGATGTCGTTGTGTTCAAAACAAATTTTTCCATAATTTGCGCTATAATTCGCAATATCGAAAGTGGTCTATAATTCATAATTTCTTTTTTATTGCCATTTTTATATAATGGTCTCACAACAGCTGTTTTTAATTCAATAGGAAATTCCCCTGATGAGAGTGATTCGTTTACTATTTTTATTATAACGTCTTTTAATACCTCAAAAATTTTCTGAATGCCCCTTAATCGAATGGAGTCATTCCCCGCAGGCTTTGACGCTTTCATGTTGTTTATTATGCATCTAAGATCTACATCTGTCATCTGAGGTAAATAAGCTGAGTGCACGCTATTCTCGTAGCTATTTGATTCTTCTCCTTGATTTTGTAGTACTTTTCTCAAATCCGCAATCCTCTGAACAAAAGAGTCGTTAAATTGGTTGCATAAAAAACTGACATTGTTACTACCAAAAGCTGTTTGAATTGTTTCATCTATATTTTGTTTTTCTTTACTTTCCGTAATTTTCTTTATCCGATCCCAACTTTTCTTCGGATTTCCCTCGCATTGTTAAAATTTAGATGTATAATGATATTTTTTGCCAGTCTTATTTTGGCAGTTACCTTATTACGTAATTTTTTAAACTCTCCTTTAATTATTGGATCACGTGGTCTTGCTTTACAAATGTTCCACAACCTGTCTTTTTCACGGCATAGTGTCAATATTTTGTCGTTTATCCAGGCATTTTGTGGATTTCTTTGCCTTATTTTTACAGCTTTCCAACACTTTTCGTATATCGTCCTCAAATTATTCCCAAGCATCTGGTAAGCAGTAACGTGATCAAAAGCAAAGAGGGAGGCCCAGTTATATTCCCGTATCTCGCAATGCCGTGATAGTAAAGTCCCTTGGTACTACTTTTACAAGTAACGACAAACAATACACCCATTCCGATGGAACAAAATGGCGGCATGCATTCAGTTCAAACATCTGCTGTGCGCCACCGTTCGCTTCCTAAAACCTGCACCGTCACGCAGGCGGCGTTGGTTTTATACAACACCTAGCGGAAAGCATCGCGGGGCGCCTTGTTCATCACGCTTTGCTCGGTAGAAACACGTGTTTAATCAGTGAGGACGCCAGTTCCAGTTGCACGCCGACGCTGCAGCACTTGTGTGACACTCTTTCGTTACAGGAGTGCGTGACGTGAAAACATGAGCTAGGAGTCAGCCATATTACACTGCGCTCACTGAGCATCTATGAAACTTGTTGCTTCGTCACTTTGTCCTCTTCTATTTCTTTATTGTTTCGTACGTTATTTCTTAACTGTTTGTCCACGAGGCACATGTAAATAATTGCATCCTTAATTTCCTTTTTGACTGTGCTATCCGTCTGCTTCGGAGTTTCTATTCTAAGATGCTGCCCCCCCTCCCCCTTTCCCCTCCTCATCCCTCCCCCCCCCCCCCCCCTCCCAGAACCCCTCCCCTGTGCACACCTCTGACGGACCTGACCGACCGTCCGTCACTAAAAATACTTTACGCTCCTCTTCCGCTATCCGCTCCCCCATTTCATCTTTCCCCATACAGGAGAGGACGGCGTACGCCACAGGCCGTGGGCGCATCCCCTTTAAGGGAAAAGCCGGCGCACGCCGACCGCCCCCCTTTCCCCCTTACTTTGTTTCACTTTACGATGGACCTTGGAGGACGCCAATCCAGAACTGTGATGGCCTCACGTGACTACGCGTCTCGCGCGCCGCTGCGCCCCTTTCGAATGTCACGTGACACTCACACGCCATCGGGTTGGCTTCGATCGCTCGTAGCGTTCGCTGAGGTCCATCGTAAGGTGGAACGGAGCACAGAGCACATCATCGATTGAGCGCCGGCGCGCGCGTTGCGATGCACCAACCACCGGGCCAAGATGGCGGCGGACTCACCGAGTGCGCCGCACATGCGCAATCGGCTCGTTGCCAGGACGACCGGCGCTCGCGAATCGGTCGACTTCGATCGAGCCGCCCCAGAAAGTGCGCGGCCACGGCGACATGTTGGACGGCCGCGGAGTTATCCAGTGAAGTCCGACCCGCCCGCCGTTTATTGGAGTTGCAGGTAAAGAACGAGAGGATATCCGTGCTCCCCAGTTGTTGCTTCCGAGCCAGGAGCCATGGGGACAGTGCTCAGTTTCTCGCCGCGGGACCGCAAGCCGCAGAGCTACAGCGAGTACAATCTCTACAGCTACGAGCAGCTTAACAACGCCAAGAACAACCAGCACAGCAAGGTGCTCCAAGATAGGACCACGGGGGGACACCTCCTACATCATCACCATCACCACCACAACCACCACCACAACCACAACAACAACAACAACAGTCAGAACAACAACAGCAACAACAATAACAACAACCAAAACCACCAGAACCACAACCTCAAGAAACACACGCTCTTCATCAACGCGCTCAGCTGGAAGCACTTCAATGTCTCCACGAAAAAGAAGGCGGAAAAGACGAAGTCGGCGGCGGCTTCGCGGCCCCCGCTCGAACCCGTGGACCCGAACAAGAACGTGCACAAGTCGCTGTCCTGCTACAACCTGGGTCTCGACCTCGTCGGTCCTGGTAGGGTCGACAGACACTCGACGAAGCCTGCGCCGCCCCCACTCCCGCCCAAGCCCGCTGTGGTCCGGCCGGCGCCGCCCAAACCGCCGGCCGTTACGACCGGCAGTCCGCAGCGCAAGACAGTCATCCAGGCTTCGACTTCGGAGCTGCTACGATGCCTGGGCGAGTTCCTTGGCCAACGGTGCAAGCGCCTACGCGACTTCCAACCGGGCGACGCAGTCCTCTGGCTCCGCACCGTGGACAGGTCCTTGCTGCTCCAGGGCTGGCAGGACATCGCGTTCATCAACCCCGCCAACGTGGTGTTCCTCTACATGTTGGTGCGGGAGCTGGTCAGCGAAGACGTGTCCAGCGAGAGAGAGCTGCAGGCCGTCGTGCTGACGTGTCTCTACCTCTCCTACGCGTACATGGGAAACGAGATCTCCTATCCGCTCAAGCCGTTCCTGGTCGACGAGAACAGGGACAAGTTTTGGGACCGGTGCCTGCTCATCATCGGCACGCTCAGCGGCAGCATGCTGCGCATCAACAGCGAGCCCGGCTTCTTCACTGAGGTCTTCACCGAGCTCAAGGCGTGCGCGCCACCGCCACCCCGAGTCTGCTGAAACTAGGACCAAGACGCCAAGTTTGACTCAGGAGAAGCCATCGCGAGAAAAAAAAAAAGAGAACCCGTCCTTCTGCGTTAGAGAGACAGCGGTCGAACCATCATGGCGGCCGACGGCGACGCGGGGACTCCGCCATAACTGCCAAAAAAGATGTTCTGCGGTGCGTCTGCTCGTCGTGGCTCGGCGCTGACGCTGCGTAGGGACGTTGGTGAGGAACAGTTCGTGATGGGATCTTCGCCGAAGCCTCCGGCAGGTTGCAGGCGACCACGATCTCTATTTATTTATTCTCTTATCTTAGTCGAGGCAGGGGATTCCCCTTCCCCTACTCCGCTCGTTGTTACCGACTTGTTGTTCTGGGATGGAGCTGCAATCTTTTTTCGCGTCCCGGACGGAGCGCGCGGGAAAAACAAACAAACAGGACAAGGTGAGGGCAGCGAAATCATCCGTTTCTCTTGCTCTGTGTTTGCCAAACGTGTTTCTGTTCTGCGCCGAGACTCGGTTATATATACATTTACTATCTTGTATACATGCCACCCTGTTCCGGTCCCGGTTTTGAGATTTTCGTCATAAGCCAGTGAAAAGCCACATGACAGAAAGTCAATAACGCGCCGATTTCAAGGACGCTTATTTTCCGGTTGAGGCCCACATTGTGAGCATAACACGTTAGTCTAAAAATAAAGGCAAAGCCTTTTATTTTTATTCACTTTCTTATTAATCTTGCTTAATCTTTTTGAGACTCGATACGCCAGTGTAAAGAACAGATTGTGTGCCAATCTTGTCATAATAACGTAACACTAGAAATAATTGGATAGTGCTGATAAAGAAAGAAAGATATGTGCACTTGTATATGTCTGCGACATGCAGCGTAGTCTGTACGTGATATGCCACTATTACAGTAATAGCAACGGGGGAAAAGAAGAAAGTAATGGTTGTCCAGGAATTACACAGTGAGATTGCAATTCTTAAAACTATTCTTGAGCCGCCGCACAAAAAAGAAACAGAAATATTTTTTGTTTCATTGCGTGTATAGATCTATGTATTTACGTCCAATCAAGACCTACGTCTCCACGACTGGTAAACCGTCAAAGCGTTTGAACGTGAAAACCACAGCTGATCTTTGTCCATAGTAACAAAACAAACCGCTCGTTCTTTTTCTAAAAAAAAAAAAAAAAAAAGTTTTAACAAAAGATGGATGCGAGAAGGAGCTAGGAACCGTTGTTATTTTGCCACGTAAAGTTTTCCACTAAGGCAAAGTTCGTTCAGACTTTTCAGAGTTGTAACCGCGCCGCCAAGCAGAGAGCCGCTAAGCCTAAACGAACGCAGCTAGACACACAAAACGCTAAAACAAAATGGCCGCGAGGTAGTAGCTCGCACAGTGGCGACCGTAAGAAATCGATCGCTCTGTTCTCTCTCCATCGCCCACGTCCTCATCCCCATTTATGCTTCCCCCTCTCTCATTATTCCCGAAACGAAAATCCTTGCGCATGCGCGACGGGGCAGCGGTACTCCGCATTAGTCATCATGAGCGGTTCTATTCCTTCATTTTTTATTCTGGTTTGTATATCTATATGTATGTGTGTTTATATGTGCGGACGCTGACACGCAAATTGAGGGACGCGTCCGGTGGAAACATCATTAGGTAAACACATTGCGTAATGTTAAGTGACGTCATCACGGCGTCTTAAATTACAAAACACGGCGCTTATTTTTTTTTTTTGTTTATTTATATTAAAAAAAGAAAACGTTGCAGATAAAGGGAGTTTCTTAATGCTGAGCGAGTGCACCGCCAAATATCGCAGAAAGAAAAAGAAAAAAAGAAAAAAGAGCGATTTCGGTTCATTGCATCATGAACAAAAACACGTACGCTGACAATGATTATTCTCATGTTCATGGAATCAGGCACCTTTATAATTGCAACAATGAATATCCTATATTAATCAAATTATTTTGTAGCTGCACAGCCTAGCTCCTTCGGAACTAAAAAGTACAAAGCATGTATTTGAGGCGCGTATACTATAGTATATGCTGCGATTCACATGTACACGCATTTGCATAATACCTTTCAGGTCATTTCTGAATATACGACGTTGCGTTTATTACCTCAGTTTCATTTTATGAACCATGCATCGCGAGGGAAAAGCTAAACTATAACGAAATACCACACTAAACTTCGTCGTTAGCTCTTGATGACTAATGAATCGTTTCCATATCTTCGTAAATATAAGTGTATATTAACTCTTCAAACAACAACAAACAAAGATCATAACAAACTGAAACATAAATATATCGGCACAGCTGATCTAGATTTGTTAATATAGGAACAGAATAATGAATACCGCACACGTACTTCATTCGACAATGTTCGTAAAGAAGTATACAAATACAAAAAGAAAATGACTTTCAACTTCAAAATATACATAATCGTGCCTGTTTGGCTGTTACCAGGGGCTTACATTTGTTAAACGATGACGACATCAACCACTGTTTTTTAGATTTACGTTAGTACGTACACAGACCCGAAGCTCATTTCACCCCCCATGCCGCCCAATGGTTGTTTTTTGGAAAGCGGGCTCTGCCCCTTTTACAATTGTGTTGTGGTGAAGCCAAACTTCAATTGTCAGGGTGCGACACTGATTTTTTGGAGACGTTATGTAATAGACACGAAAAAACAAACGCCTCGAAATAATTAAAAGTTAGACTTATCTGAGAATAACGGATCACGCCTCGTTAAAATATGTCTACTGTTAGCGCGCGGTGAACTTTTCTTGGTATGATAGACGAAACTGCTGGACAGAGATAAAATGCCACGTTGTTATTTTATGTGCGAAACTAGCGCCAGGTTTAGTCCGAGGCTCTGAGTGATGTTAGAAAACCGTGAGTGCGTCATAAGAATTTTTTTCTGGTGTGCTGAGATTGTCATTGTCATCTTCAAACGGATTTCATTACCTGTTACGAAGATTCACCGTAGGGTTTCGTGCGCAGAAGGAAAGAAAAGGCTTTGTGCTGTTTCATCGAGTGCTTTTGGGAAAAGAAAACAAACGAAGGAGAAGAAGAAGAAAAAAAAAAGAAAGCTCGTACTGCTCATTTGTACAAACTATGACTGAATAATAAAGAGAGAACTGTTCCGACTTTTTGAATGCCGCCTTTTGTCAATCTCTAAAACAAAAATCCAGAAACTCGTGTATCTAGTTAATATTTCGTAAGCATCTCTCACCCTAAGCGTATTACGTAAATAAATGGTATAAAGTGCCTTTGCACCCTCATAGCAGTTATTCTAAATGACTCACTGTGGCAAACTAAACACTGTTCAGATCCGTAATCATGTATTCCTTAGTATTTTGTAAGATTTGAAGATAATTTTATTTTATCGGAGCTCGCCCCTCCAACTGGTATGAGGGTGACAAGCCGATACAAATCATATCACAAAATTGTCAAAATGAAAAAGGCTAATCCAGTAATAATAATGAAGAATAAAGAATCACTTTTATAAGGTGCCCAGGAACAAAAATACGCTCTTGGTGCTGGCAACAACAACAGCAAGAACAATAATAATAATGATAATAATAATAATAATAATAATAATAATAATAAAGTTTAGACTGGACGCACGCAGCGAATAACATAAACAAAATGAGGTCACCGGGGCACTGTTTTGGCCATTCAAAAAGAGCCAAAATTAATGCGCTAAAATATCCATATTATTTTATCAGGTTGTCCAGACTCTCCTTTCGCCAGTGGCAATCTGTGGCCTCCTCACGCACGTAAAAAAAAGGAAAGTAAAAAAAAAAAAAGTTGTAGGTATCGGAGCCCACGAGAATTAAAGGAAAAAAGGGCTGACTTTGGAACGACATTGAGGAATTTAGTTCATCGCCTGGAGGCAGGCACCGTTGGGCCAGCGTCCATCGATCCTTTGACCTCCATCTTAGGAGGCCGCTCTTCCCATTCCCCGTTTTTGATTGGAGCAGAGGACCACATCGCTAAGCCAATGGAAGGGCTGCTAGCGCCATGTTCCTGCTTTTTCGTTTGTTTCTCAGTTGGCTTCGCTCTTCCTTCTATCAGCCTTTTTTCCATCCGCCCTTTCTCCGATTTTTTCTCCCCTTTATGCCGTGTACGAAGGTTCCCCATATATTGTATAACTCTAGTTATTTTGTTCTCTTTTTTAGCTTGAAAGTTGTTGGTAAAAAATATATATATATTTTGGTGTTTTTTGCGGATGTAGAGGTCCCCCTAAAACAAAAAAGGTAAGAAAAAACGAAGAAAAAAACGCTCGGGCACGGTATGTGTTTGTGTTCTGCGCGGTTTCCGATCTCATGGGACGTTGACCCAGATATTTTAAAAACACTTCAACCGCTTTTTTTTTTTTTTCTTTCGCTGTTCGTTTTTGCGCGTGGAGATATTATTTAGGTCAGTTTAAATCATATCAATTCTTTTTTTATTGTTTTTTTTAGAGGTGAGGTATATGTTGGCTAGGGAATATATATACTTTTTTCAGTGCTCACCACCCGGGTGAAAAATGGTGGTGGTGCCACAACGCTCGGCACTGCGTTAAATCGGCTCTCAAGTGTTCATCCAAAAAAAAAAAAAAAAATCTTTCACGTTTTTTTTTTATTTTGTTGTGCAATTTGTGAGTAGCAGACTCATAAAATTAGAGTATGATAATTGCACTACCTAAATACACCTTTGTGAAAAAAAAAATTGCCTTCTGAGCGCTGCCATCTTTCCTTTGTCTGCTGGGCTGCGGAACGCCTTCTGAGCATGCGCTGTTGTTCTGCTGTGCGGTATATTGGACGCTGCGCATGCGCACACAGCTCAGTGACTCAGCATTTTTTTTGCCTTGGTAATAAGCGATGGAAAGGTCTGCTTTGGCGGATGTATAATTTTCTTTCTTCGCCCGAAGAGCGCACGGAAACATTCTGTAGGATTCCGCCTGTGTTATTTTCACGGGCGTTCATGAGGACAGACGAATTCAAAACAAAAATTGTAGACAACGTTTTGCGCCCGTTTAAATTTAAAATAAAAAAAAAAATAAAAAAAGGAACCTACGAGCTGACGGGACCAATCAGAGAGTGTCAAAAGCACATCATCATAGTGTTCGTCATGTTTGTGTACCTGTTCTGTCATCGCTGAACCAATCAAACAGAAAAAGGCCTACAGTGACTCGCGGTTTCGACGCTGCTTTATGGGTCCCATTACCTCGTAGCGTCGGCATGCGTCTGGATTTAAGTGCCGTTCACACACGTGCACCCGAGGAGGACCGAGTGAGACCAGTCCGGTTTTTAAGCCTCTTGCGACAACGTAAGACCCGCTTCGCAGCAGCGCATCCGGTCGTACGCCGTCGCAAGAGGCTTAAGAACCGGTCTCTCTCGGTTGCAAGTGTGTGAACGGCGCTTTATAGACCGACGTACAACCTCGGTCCTCTGCAGGGAAGAAATTCTCTTAGCGCTTCCCCCTCCTAAGCTGCGAGGGGAGCCAACACCTACATACCAAAGCCGTAGTGCTGATAGAAATGTCGTCATCATGGAAGGCTAACGCTGGGCACAGATTGGACCCGACGATCGCGTCAACGCTCGGCTCCAACTTCACTCGAAGCCGAGCGCTGACGCAGCACTCGTTGACAATGTGTGTCCAGCGTTGGCCTTCTCTGGTGACGCAAAAAATATCAGCACCACAGCCTTGTCTCTTAGGCGGTGTTGGGGGAGCCAAGTTGGGGCAAGGAAAAACGTATGCGGAGGGCAAATTCGTCTGCTTCTGGCGCATGGGTTGCGGTGACGTCACAACGCCGAGCTCTGATTGGCTCGAGTGAGATGGGGGTCGCCGAGACCCTCTATCTGAGCGTCGTCTGCTCTTTTGCAACGTCGTCTGCTATTCAACAGCTGTCTTACTTTTACGAGCGAGCTCGACTTCGTTTTTCAGACAGGACAGACGAAATAATTGTCTAACAAATAGCAGACACATATCAAGGTGCGAAGCCAAAGGACCCACGGGCGAGGTGGCCGACGCGCCGAGGTTTGTTTTCTTACAACCGAGAACGAGGGTGGTTAGCGTCCGCAAGTTCCCTCCTTTCGTGTGCGGCGTCGAGCGTATCGCGGAAGTTGTGTCGTAGACTCGTTGACACCAAGAAGTAATTATTGTTTTTATTTTTGGTGAAATTTTATGGAAACGTATTTTTCTATGCCCTGTTATTTAAACAGACGAACACTTGCTCGGGGGTAATCCGATGGACTTCAATTAGCCCTCTGTATTTTCTCAAGCCACTTTTTTCTAAGCTTACTGCCTTAACAGACAAGGATAAAAAACACGCTGCTTCCATCAGTGAAGCGCGCGTGCGGCCCCGGACGTCTAAGGGCATCACAGACCTGTTATTGCTCTGTTTCGTGCGGCTAGGAGCCACTTGTCCCTCTAAGAAGGGTGCAAGGTGCAGAGACCCACGCACCTATTTAATAATCTAGAGTCTCGTTCGTTATCGGATTTAACCAGACAAATCACTCCACCAACTAAGAACGGACATGCACCACCATCCACCGAATCAAGAAAGAGCTCTCCATCTGTTAATCCTTCCAGAAATTAAAAATGCGACACACCGTCGTAAATGCGCCCACCACATCCGAAGACGCAGCACGTTTTCATTTCCCCTGGTAACACTGCCTCTTGGACAGCGCCTGATCGGAGCCGACCTCTAAATCACACAGGATAGAATCGGAACGTTGTTTTCTATTCTTTTTTTTTTTAACCAGCAACCACGCGAAAGACTCACACTCGACCCCAGGGGCAACAAACCATTTTCGAGGCCAGTCACTGAGTTTGAGGCTAGACTCTCACCAGCGTCCCTCCTAACCCTAACCGAGTGGACTGTGATTTCAATGGGCGTAGCCTGCGTAGGCGCAGTTTCAAACGCTGCTGGCGGCTAAATTCTCGTATTTTCCCGCTATATTTTGTGTTTCATGGTACATGTATGTTTCCGAGAACATTGAAAAAGCATTGTGCCTCATCAAAAAAAAAAAAAAAAACTAATCTATTTTTGTTGTGTACGCATGCGACAGAACGAATGCAACTGGAATGTATAGTTATAGTTATTTGGTTTTTTTTCTTACGATAAGTTTTGACGGCGCCGCGGGATTCGCCGTATGTGAAGCGACAAAACGCTTTGCTGTTAAAAATAAATTGCAACAGAAGAGGGCCGAAAGCCATGCATTTTTCATGCTCACAAATAACGCGCTTACCGATGAACTGTACACAAACATACAATTAAAGAAGTGTTAACATTCGAACAATATATCGTACGTACCACACGATGCAGCGTTATCCGAAAAGAATTTATTTGAGAAAGATCTCAAATAACAGTCACAGTCGCCGACAGTCACATCTTGACGATCGGACGGAATCCGAGATGACTTCGTTTTGGGGCACGTTTTGGGGAGAGCTTCCTTTTTCCACAACCGCACCAAGGCAAAGAAACAAACGCGACTGGTCACTGACCCGTTTCTCACCCCAACCCGGACAACTATTTTTGCAGATGACTGAGGATTCTACGCGGATTATCTCTGGGAGGGGGGAGAACAATGTTCGCAAAATCGCGTCGAAGGTCGTTCGACGTCCTTCACCTCCTTCGTCTCCCGTGAATGTCGAGCAGAAAAGCTTGAATAGCAGGCACTTGCCAGCCTTATTTCTCACATTGGAAGATAACACAGAAAGGGTACGCTGCCCGCATGAAAAGAATTAAGTGGAAACTTTCAAGAGGGGCGAGAAAACGTCGAATGCAAAACCGCGAAAACGCAGGTAGAGAACCGCGCTGAGCGGGTCTTCACAGTCCCAGAGAGTGGCAGAAAATTTCTAGCTGATAGAGGGCGCGAGAGTCGCACAAGCCGCATCAGCATCAGCAACACGGCGGCGGCCTAGGAGCGTTTTTTTGGAAAGCTGTATAGCACGTCCGCCATTGCCGACGCCGAGATGTTTACATCCGCGACCCCCCCGGGCCCGAGAAGGCGGAGCTTAGTATAACCTCCTCTCCCACCTTCACACCTCCTTTCCCAATTGCAGAAGACCGAAATGCGCCCACTAAACAACAAGGCGCATAGAGAGGCTACTCGGAGCGCAAGTTCGTCTGCCTCTTGCCCAGGCGTTGCGATGA